TTTTTTTTTTTTATTATATACGTATACTTCGACAACTTAATGATGATTAATAAACAAATGCAGTAAAATAAAAAAAGGAAAAAAGAATAAACTTTGACATCCTAATTGTGGTTAATAAAAAAGTGCAGTAAAAAACGAAAAAAGAATATCTTCGTATAGTATTATATTCATTTTATTGTTCCATTTTACAAATAACGTACCGTTCTTCTCATGACTAATTTATTTAGAAAAATCGTTGAATATGCAATGTATTAATAAATATCAATTATTATTACTTTTATCATTATTATTATTATTATTATTATTATTATTATCATTATTATTATTATTATTATTATTATTTTTATTATTGTTGTTGTTGTTGTTGTTATTATTATTATTATTATTGTAATTACAAAATGGACAATATTAAATAGTCTGTCTACGGTAACCGTATACATCAATATCAGATGTAACATTGAAATGATAAAAGTATCTCACGATATAATAAATAAATAATAAATGGAAGACTTGTTGTTTAAAAAACTTTTTCGTTAAGATTAAAGAGTAAAAATAGAAAAACGATGATATGTTGTCCCATTTCTTTAACGTTGTATAAAATTTTAAGACGAGATTAATTTTCTTTCTTAGACTTCAGAGATCTTTCTTTTTTTTTTTTATTTGTTAAAAATAATATAAAATTAATGAGTTCAACGATGTTGTTAGTTAATTTTTCAAAGCTAATCGATTATATTTTTTTCGTCGTTCAGTTTCGTTCCGAGAGAGGAGGAACCTTCGTTCTCGTTGAATCTCGAAAGAAGAACTTTGAAGCAACCCCCACAAGTTGTGAGGCCGTTCGTCGGCGAGCAACACCCCCTACTCGCAGGGAGTCTAACAAACGACGTGGCGTGTCCCACGCTCGTAAATCATCTTTTCCTCGTCCTATCGTCGGAGATCTCGTGCGTTGTCAGCGTGCATGTGCACGGTCACCGACGCGCGCGTCTCGCTCGCGTTTCTTCCGTCGCATTACTTCCGCTTCTCTTTCTCTCTCCCTCGGTCTCTCTCTCTCTTTCTCTCTCTCTTTCTCTCTTTCTCTCTTCCTTCTCACGCTAAATCTCTGATTTCTGTTGTTTCTTATTTCTTCTCTCTTTTCTTTTAATTTTTTTTTATTATTAATATTATTATTTTCTTTTTTATTGCTATTATTATTATTAATATCTCTTATATTTCATACAATTTTTAAAATATTGATCGCGATCAATCATCTGCTTGAACTTGACGCATCGAAGGGCTCGTTAACCCTTTGTAATTTATTTTTCTTTTGTTTTGGGATTTTTAAAAATTTTATTTTATAAAAAAGAAAATTATATAATGTGAATTAGTGATATATAAAGCATGCGGTTTTGTGATTTGATTAGAAAAATTGCGAAATACATCGGCGATATGTTTAATTCTTATCAATTCTTAGCAAGTATTACTTCAAATAGTGAACTATTAATGTTTCGAAATGATATCAAAAAAAGAAAAAAGAAAAAAGAAAAAAAAATAAAGATACACGAGATGAGTTAAGGGGGTGTGATAATATTTTTATTAATTTCAAAGAAATTATTTTGACGTTTCTCTTAAAATTTATTTATTAACTAAAAATCGTTTGTTTATTTATTTATTTATTTTTTGTTTAACGTATAATGATCTAAAGAATGTTTCAATCTTAGTTAACGATCGCTAATAGTAAAATATAAATTTTGATATTTAATTGAAATTCATGCATAGCTAAAAATCCAATCGAAAAGTATATCTTTGGATTTTCTTTGATCGGTAAGAAATTCGGTAGTGCGCGGGAAAAGAACGTTATTAAAACGATGAATTTGAAGTTTTGGAATCGCATCGTTTAAGATCGGGCTGGGCTAAGCTCGGAAGAAGCTTACAGAGCAATCGGATAGAGAACGGCGCAACATCAGCGGCAAATTCGTGCATTGCCGGCCAACGCCGAGAGCGCGCAGTATGCTTTCTGCTTTCGATCGAACGAGCCTTGTGTGGAAAGTCTTCTTGGAGAAACTTTTTCTAATACAAAATATATGATTTCTCTTTCGGTACTTTTCCTTTCTTTTTATTATTATTATTATTATTATCATTATCATTATTATTATTTTTAATATAAAATCATCTCAAATTTAATATTAAAATGAGAGAAAAAAAAAGAAATGAAAATATCTCTTCTCTTCTATTATTATTATTTCTAAGCAAGACAAATTTTTAAGACAAAAACAAAAAAAAAAAGAAACGAATTATGCGTAAATACTGAATTCTTTAAATGTTCTTGTAATGCGTTTTAATTTAATTTCGTAAATAGATATTTCGATGTTTTTTGTCGATGTCAAATATTACATTGAAGTAATAGGAACGTTAAAATAAAGTGCATTTTCTAGAACTAATACCTACCGAATACGATGATCCTGCTATGTGCGGGATTACGTCGATTTTGTAGACGCCCCTTTAGACGCGTTCCTTCTACTACGTTCTTCGTTCTATGTGGCACGAAAGTCCGTGAAAAATAATTTAAAAATTTTCTTGGGCGAGAACGACAACGACGACGACGATGACGACGACTACGA